CCTGGTCTCAAGACTGTCCCTATGTGAACTCTGCCCCCAGATCCAGAGATAAGTGAGTGACAGGAGGAATGAAAGGCGTTTACCCTGTGCTGAGTGCTGGGGATACAAGTAAGAGATAGGGGCCCCACTGTCAGAGTACTTAGCCAGCACACAGACAGCGTATTAGGGGAGCCGGAGCTGGAAGGTCACATGCTGGGCCAGAGTGCAGTCTGGCCAGGCTTCAGTAGGGCCTGAGCAGATGTTTATTGATTATTGACTGCTGACTGTATACTGCAGACAAACAGGTAGCTGGGGAAGGGATGGCAAAGGCCTCTGGTGGGAAGCGGCTCCTTGAGCTGCTTTGATCTGGAGACGGAGGGGAGGAGAGGAGATCCTCGCACTCTGGGCACAGGGGAGGCGCAGGGATATTGGAGATGGTGGGTCCTGGGTGAGGAGTAGCAGGCCCGCTAGTGTCTAGTCCACCTGGAAAGGTCGGCTGGGGCCAGACTAGGAAGGGCTGTCAAAGTCAGAGAAGTCTGGGCTGGGTCCTAGGAGAGGAGGCCGCTACAGCAACACGACCAGGGCTTTAGGGGTTTCCCGTTCTGACTCTCCAGACTGTACCAACATGTATCAGCAGCCTTCCCAGCCTGGAACATCCCTCTGCCACCAGCAAGTCCCTTCTGGGGCCGCCATTTTGGGGGATGGGCCTGGAGTCCCAGGCTGGCCATGGTTCATTCCCCTCTTCGATGTGCTTCTGCCTGTCCCCACTTCCCAACAATGCACCCCTCCCCCATCCTTGCACCATCTACACCCCCTTCCCCTTTTCATCTCCCTTTCATTCGAAGTATTTTCCTTTTAGAATGTAAGCTCTTTAAATGACAAACATTGGAGAAGACGTGGGAAAATTGGAACGCTAATGCATTGTTGGTGGAGTTGTGAACTGATCCAACCATTTTGGAGAGCAATTTGGAACTATGCCCAAAGAGCTATAAAATGTGCATACCCTTTGACCCAGCAATAGCACTTCTAGGGCTGTATCCCAAAGAGATCATACAAATGGGAAAAGGACCCACATGCACAAAAATATTTATGGCAGCTCTCTATGTGGTGGCAAAGAATTGAAAATTGAGGGGGTGTCCAACAGCTGGGGAATGGCTGAACAACTTGTGGTATATGAATGTAATGGAATACCATTGTGCTACAACAAATGGTGAGCAGGCAGACTTCAGAAAAACCTGGAAAGATTCGTATGGACTGATGCTGAGTGAAGTGAGCAGAACCAGGAGAACGTTGTCCACAGTAACAGCCACGACGTGGATAGACTTGGCCCTTCTCAGCAATGCGAGGATCTAAGACAGCTCCAAAGGCCTCATGATGGAAAATGCTGTCCACATCCACAGAAAGAACCATGGAGTCTGAATGCAGATGGAAGCAGACGGTTTCCTCTCCTTTTCTTGTCGTTTTGTTTTGTTTCTTCTTTCTCATATTTCCTCCCATTAGTTCTAAATCTTCTTTATTATCATGACTAATGTGAAAATATGTTTAATACGAATGTATAAGTAGAGCCTATATCCGAATGCACAGCTGTCTGGGAAGGAGAGGGAGGGGGAGAAAATTTAGAACTCAAAAGATTATGGAAATGAATGCTGAAAACAAAAATTAAATAAACTGATGAAAAAAAAGAATGTAAGCTCTATGAGGAGGAATTGTCCTCTTTGCTTGTAATTGTATCTTTGCCATCACCACTTTCTTCTCTCTGTCACTGTGGAGAGGGGACCCACCTTCCTCAAACCCCAGGCCCGGGGAAGGCCTGCCCCCAGCCCTGACCACTGGCCAGCTTCCAGTCCAGCACCTCCCCCCCCCCATCATCCAGGGCAGCCACATTCTGCCAAGCACAGAGAAGACCAGTCAGCCTGGCCACAATAGCAAGAGCCGCTCGGGAGAGGCAGATGGCCAGCCAGGGGCTCCTCAAGGGCGCCACAGAGCCGGCAATGACGGGTGCCGTGGTCTGCGGCTGTGATGTGAGGCCTGCCGCTCCTTTGTCCTGTGTCCCCACTACTTGGCGCCATTACTGGGCACCTAATCAAGGCTTCCTTCCCTCCCTGTCAGTTTGCCGAGGGCCTAGGGCAACTTCACAATTCCTTCATAAAGGCCCATCCATTAGAGTGGCTTCCTCCAGATCCGCAGACTCCGCCCCACGCTCTGGGACCCATCATGGGCTTCAGCAACCCCACAACTTCCCTGTGACTGGCTCAAGGTCACAAGCCAAAGCCGCTTCTTCCAAATCTTCACCTTGCTTGCCCAGGGTGCCGGGGCCTGGCACACACTTGCTAAGTTACCTCCCTGGCACCTTTACGTGGAAATCCCGGGGCAGGCTGACTTCCCCACTTTTCAGACCATGATTCTTCACTTTGATTCTTTTTAATTCAACGTGAATGGAATGACCACCAACACTTCTCTGTCCTCTGTCTGGGTCCCTTTACCCTCTAGGAGCCAAGGGACAGCCCAGGGGTGGGGCACAGGTAGACTGGGAGAATCTTCTTGGATGTTTACTCAATTTACCAGGAAATCCAAAGGTCTAAGGGAAAAGAATTGCCGACCAAAGTCATGCAGAGCAAAAAATCCTGACTTTTTCCATCCAGAGTTCCTGATTTTCTTCCTTATAATTTTCCACTTTAAAAGAGGTTCATTGTTTTCATTTTTTAAGTACCTTACAGAATAGGTACAGAAGACAATTTCCTCTAAACGACAATGTTAAAAACCAGGTATAAAAAAGAGATTTGCTTTTCCAATAAAATTGCGTAATTTTCTTGGTCAGCAAGGGCTCTGTGGCCAGCTGAGTCATTGTGTCTCCTGAGTTTACCAATCTAGTCAAATGTGAGTTAAAAAAGTTTCAATTAACCCACTTCCACAATGAAGGCAAGTCTCTTAAGGTAATTTTTCTGGCCTTTTCAATGCCTCATCACAGTGACTCCAGAGATTCCTGGAGCCTGTGGAACAAAACATAAGCCAGGTGTCCTGCCAGGCCGGCAGGCTGCGGGAGGCGTGTCTGGGAGCTGCTGGGGTCCTTTGGAAATCATTTTGGGGGCAAAGAGAGTTGCTCTCAGCTGGCTGGACTCAATCACTCGTGCAGAGAGCACACTAGGTGTCTTTCCCCCTCGCCAGAGTGAGGCTGCTGGAGCCCTGCCAAGTCGTGTCCAAGCCCACGGATGCCCATGACTGTCCCCTCAGGATGGCCCCTCTCCCCAGCTCCCTTCACCATGTCCGTGACTTCTTTACTGTTTAGAAAACAGATCAAGTTCCCCAAAAGGACTCTGATTCTCCATTTTAATATACATATAGATGACCATTTATTAAATTAGAAGACCAAAACATATATGTGACAATGAGAGAAAAAATGCAGACACTGGACCCCAACAACAGAAGCAGAGCCTCCCGTGTTCACTGACGCAGGCCCCACCAAGGCCACCCCTGACCCAAGCCCCTAGCACAGGCCAGGGCTGGAAGGGACCCAGGACCCCCAGGGGCTGCCTGCCTGTGGCCACATGCTGTCTGTCCTTGCGGGTCACAGGGCTGTGCCTTGGTGGCTAAGGGCCCATCACATGTTCCCCAAGTCCACGCCAGCCCCATTCCCTGATGGAGAAGCGCCCCCACATTCTGGCATCGTTTCTGCCTCCCAAGCTGCTAAGAACAAATCTCCAGACCCAAGGTAAGGTGGACACACCCCAACAGCAGCATCACACAGGTGCAAAGACAGTGGGGCAGGACCCCAGAGGATGGTGTGGAGGCAGCTGGTCAAAGAACAGGCACAGCTCCCCCTCCCCCGGAGGGCTCCTCCAGGACAGTCCAAGGGCACATTCTCTTTTCCCTCAACATCTCAGACAAGTGGATGAGGTCACTGCCCAAACAGGCCAGTCGTCCACTCTTCCTGAGGCTGCTCCCTGGGAAGGGCACTCAGGTGGTCACTCGGGGCCAGGCCAGCCTCCCCATCACAGCCCGTGTGGCCTTAGGCCCTGGGTAGGCAGGGCCCCTCAACAAAGGAAAACTGAACACTAATCTGAATGGAAAAAAAAAAGTGTGGGGGGGAAATTACCACCTTCCCTGCTCTGAAGATAATGTGCGGTCCCAAAGAAAGAAGCGAGAAGTTTGGTCCTGACCTGAGAACTGAAGCCCCGGACGGGACAACCACCAGCACACACTTGCACGTGCGTGTGTGTACACTACAGGTCTGATAGTCAACATCCAGCACGATGGGGACATGGTATTTTCTGACTGGGGGAAGGGAACGCCCAGACTCTCTGCCTTCCTTGAGACCCCCCAGGGGCCCAAAGGGCTCAGCCTCCAGGGCCCAAGGTCGGCCATCCCCCAGCTGCAGAGGATGGCCGCTGTAAAGTGCACGACGTCTAGGTCCATCAGTGGGGCTCTCTGCCCCTTAGCGCCCCCTCCCACAGAAGGCTCGGCTGCCTGACGGTGGGTGGGTGGGCCCGGGCACCGCCAAGGGAAGAGGGGCTCTGGCACTCGCCCCGGTCAGTAGTAAAGCAACAGGACAGATGGCAAGAATGCGCCCTCGGGCCTCTGCGGCTGACTGGAGCGCACCTGTCAAGGAGGAGGAAGGTCCCCCTTGGGACAGAACTTCAGGAACATTGTAGGAAGAGAAGCATGATCAGAGTGGAGGGGATTCTTAACCAGCTAAAGGTGGTGCATGCTTCCAGGGGGAAGGGGACATGGCATGCCTTGTCACACGTGGTATCCTGGGCAAAGCCGGGACTGACCGCCACGGCCCACGAGGCCACCCGCAGGGAAGGCAGTGGGGCAAGGCGGGGGGAGCAGACAGGCCTTCCCTCTCTGGCCCAGGGCAAGTGGTAACAGAGTGCCCTGAGCCAGAGGTTGAGGGTGCCGGCCCTGCGGTAGGAAGGGGAAGGGGGAGGGTAATAAATACACGTGACACTTCTCCCACCCCAACAAACAGCACATACGGCGTCGCGGCTATGAACTGGAAAAACCCACATGCATCTGCAGAGTGACCCAAAAAATGGCATGTTAATGCCCAAGAAAAAGAGAGATGACAATCACTCGGGGACTCTACGCTGATGCCAGGCGGGGTGAAGGGAGGGGTGGCGAGCAGGCCACGCCCGGGGGGGAGGCCCTAGGATTCCTCCCCGATCTGGAGCAGGGAGTTGATGGCCGCCTCCCGGTTCCCCCTCTGCGCTTCCAGCACCGAGCGGATCACTTCTCTGTCCATGTTGGGGAACATGTCCTGGATGGCTTTCAGGTCCTCTTCACTACACGGCTGCTGGGGACTGACCACTGGAGGGGCCACTGCCAAGGGCACCACCCCTGGGCCACAAACAGCAGGCACTCCTAAGAACAAGAAGAGACACCACTCAGTGTGGGCTGAAGGGCCGGGGAGGGGCCCTGTGGCCAGGCGGGCCAGGAAGGGGGCCACGCCCACGCCCAGCTGTGGGCCTGCTCTCCTAACACCCACAGCACCTACTTCACCATTCTGAAGCCTGCTTCTTTTTTTTTTCTCGTTCCAATGTAACTGAAACATACCCCCAGGGGACATTTCTAAAGTGACCAGAGCCATGCTAGACACCGTGACTCATGTCCAGGAACACCGCATATTGGAAGACCAAGGCCAGGCCGGTGTGAGGGGGCAAGGGCCCTGCCCACCACTGAATGACCCACGAAGACACCAACTTTCTCTGGCTGCAAAGGGCACAGGGCGCGGGCATCGCTTCCCGTCTTCCAGACATTGACCCTGATGGAGGGCATTCCCAGGGCGGGCAGAGCCTGGTCTGGCAGCTGGCTGGGGGATGGGCCCAGGACTTGATAACATAGGGCCAGGTTTTTACATTGGAAAACCCAACCCACCCTGGCTAAACTCAAGGGCAAAGGGAGGCCATTACTGAAGGGGCTTTTATGTTCTTTATCAGTACAACATAATGCAGCTTCGTAACATAGCCTGGCACCCGACTGGACCCATTTGACTTCTGGGGATGTCTCATATTGAACTCTACCCTCTTCCAGTACTCTGCCCAGAAAGCTGCTGGGTAAGTGGCCGCTAACACACGAGCATGAACATTTATCAACTACTAATTTACTGCTGTTTGACCACTGTCTAGAGCCATGTAATCAACCAGGAAGATGGCGGAGTGGGAACGGCCATCTCTGTCTGCCAGCCTTCGTACTTCATTAAAACAGTCCACACGCCTCACTTCCCTCCCCTGCGCAAGGGGGCCCAGTCTGGTCCTCAGAGGGACCCCGGAATAAGAAGAAAGCAGAGAGGCCCTATGGGAGAACCTGTCTGGATGCAGGCCAATCTGCCTGCCTATCAAAGGGGGTCCAGAAAAATCCTAACTTTTTAGGCTCCAAAGCCTCCTCCAAGCCTTCCCCACTCCTTCCCCGAAGCCAAGGTGCCTTGTGAACACTGATGGAGGGTAGGTGGCAGCAGGGCTGCCCAAAGCCCAGCAGACCCTGCCACCAGCAAGCGTGTCTGAGTTTCTACAGGAGCAGCCCTCCGCAGTCAATGTTGACACGCTATATCACCCAAGTGAGTCACTTCAGTGCCTGGGATCTGGCATACAGCGGCACCCAAGCCTAATGCCACAAGGTGCGAGCAAGGCCCGGTGTGCACTTGACGCATTCCCCACAAGCTTGGTGGACCTGGCCTGGACAAAGCCCTCCAGCCCCGGGCAGGGGAAATGACCACAGGAGGCCAGGAGAGGAATCGTCATGAAAACTCAACACAAAGTTGCCGCATCTGGGCTGGACAGCTTCAGCCACAGACCCCGAGCCACGCAACTAACTCAGAGGGGCCAGAGGTCTTAAAGATTAGCCCCAAGCGGGTGAAATGCTGAAAACCACACCTCCCAATCGGAACTGTGCCCTAAGAGGGAGGGCAGGAAGCCGGCCGGTAACCAAAGCCGGAGCGATCAAAGGCCAACAAAAGGCTGCTGGTCTCCACAGTGGCCCCCAAAGGGGAGCTCAGGGCAGGCCTCCAAGCTCTGGATTTGGTCAGGGGCACTACCCCACGAGCGCGACCGATGAGGCGTCTCTCACGCAAGGACAGGCTCTTCCGGGGGTCTGTGAAGGCGCCTGCAACACTCACAGCTCTCTCACCTGCTGTGAGCCCTTGAGGAGCTCCCGCTTGTCCCACGGGCCCCACCACACCCACCGGCCCTGAGCCGGAAAGAAACCACTCAGGGCCCACAGCGGACGCTCAGCACGCAGCCCTGGACCCTGGCCGCCAGTTCCCCCTATTTTAAGTACAACAAACATTTTAGAAGGTAACCTCTAAAAACCTGCCATCTCTATGGAAAAAAAAAGAGCAGGCTACGGTTCTACTGAGCTCTATCTCTCAGGAGATAAGGACCCTGCCCGGGAGTGTGCCCCACGCTCCACAGCTGCCGTGGAGGAGGAAGCCTCAGGGAGCATGGTACACTGGCACCCACGCATCTGTGCTAATGATCCCTCTGAGCAGAACTGGAACCCAGCGCCTGACCATGCCCCAAACTGAACTGCCTCACATTCACAGATATACAGCAGCAGGGGGCCGCAGAGGCCCGGGGCTCATGTGACAGCACTCCAATGAGGTCATCCTCTGCTCCCAGATCCTGGGGGGGGAAGGGGGGAGGAGGAGGAGGAGGAGGAGGAATCTGCTGGGTTTGGACTTGAGACTGGAAATGAGGAAAAGACACGTGGGAGAATGGAGGAAGGGCAGCAAGCAACCCAGCTCCTACGGGAGAAGCCAGATGAAGGACGCAGGGCGAGAGGCGGGAGCCCCAGAGGACTGGCAGTCAGAGCCCTGGCAGAGACAAGATGCACTAACCAGACAGGGCCCCCTCCTGAGTGCTCGGCAGGGGGCCCTATGGGACAGGCACCCATCAGGCCCTCGATGAAAGGACAAAGGACCAGTGGGTACACAAGGCAGCGAGGGTCAACAACCAGGCCAGCCAGGTGGGCATAGGACCGCCCGCTGAGCACTCTGCACAAATTACAGAATTGCCACCAGGCTGGACAAGACCTGAGAGAGAAAGCCGTGTGGCCACGAGGGAACGAAGTCACCGCTGACCGCAAGCTCGCCCCACGGACTGTGTCTGGCCTCGGCGTGCGGAGGGGGCTCTAGCGAGGAGACTCCCTCCCCAGGAGTGGCAGCACCCGGCAGCGTCCCAGAGAAGCCCCTTGCAGGGGAATCGCTGGCCCCCCAACCTCCTGCCCTTGTGGACAGGAAGCCACTCAGCCATGAGCTCCAAGGGACCTGTCTGGAGCTTGTCTGTCTGTCTGTTCCCCCTCAGACTGGGAGTTCCCAGAGGGCAGGCCCTGCCCTTTCTCTGCATCCTCAGGGCTTAGCAAGGGGCTTGCCATGGACCAGGGGCTTCCCAAGTGCCTTAATAAGTGGGAATGTTCCAGCTCCGGAGTCAAGATCCCCCATCCCCCACCTAATTTTTCACTTGAAAGGAGGATGGGGGGAGAGAAGACTTTGCTCCCCATCAGCCACCATCCTGGACCCCCTGAGAAGGAGGAGGCATCTCTAGCACCGGGCAGACAGGAGGTCAACAAGGCCTCCGTGGGGCCGTCTCCCCATTGCCGCTGGACTAAGACCCTGGCCCCTCCTTGGTAAATTCCTCCTCGGCATCTCCATCCCCACCCCCACTGTTCTAAGGCTAGCCTACGGCCCTAGACAGGTCACATGTGAAGTCTCTGCCATCCTGAAAAGGGACTGTGAATGAGGCAAAGCCAAGCAGAGGGAGGAGGAAGGGACAAGCAGCATACCTGTAATGGGCACATAGCCAACCCCCTGCTGGTACACCGTGGGCATCAGGACCACAGGCTGAGGCTGCATCATCATGGCGGTCGGGAGAGACTGCGGATGAAGAGGTGGCAACAGAAGGTCAGTGGGGGCCGGGCAGAGGAAGAACCACCGGCTGACAGCAGTGAGCGGGCAGGCACCATTGAGAAAAGGCAATGCTGCCACTAGCAGCTCAGCTCGGAGCCCAACGGGCGCCCTGCCACCACCTGTGACCTCAGTCACTAGAGCCCCCAGGTCCCGGGGCCGAGACCGCCTGCTCCATCAGCGCAGCATGACGGCCAAGCACCAAGGGGATGCAGCTGGGGGGCAGGCTTGGCACCCGGCCAGTGTTCTTGGACCCTGACCTCACCATAAGAGCCCCCCCAGGCTGGGTGATGCGATTCCTTGTTCCACAATGGGCTGCAGCCTGTTCATACCCAGCAGGCCGCTTCTCCCCGCTGTGCCGTATTCTCTCGGGGGCTTGCCAGAAGGAGGATGGCCCACATGTCCTCCAGCCACTGGCACCCCATCAGCAAGAGCTTCCAGAGGGTGAAACGCGTTGGCTCGTGGGCAAGCCACTGCACCGGGGGGCCGGGGGGTGGAGAAGAGGGTTTGGGGCCAGACTGAAATCCATCCCCAGTCCAGCCGCCCAGTAACCGGTGCTTCCCTTCAATAGAACAGAGCTTCCCACTCAGCAAGAGAGGCTGAACAAGGCTTCCACAGCATCCTTATGCTCCTAACAACAAAACTCCAGAAACTCCATTTCACCTGCTCAGCTCCAACTAGACACCACCGCGGGGAGAGGCAGGAAGAGTGACTGTGCCCTGGCAAGGAAGAGGTTCTTTGGGACTAAGCATCAGTGACAGAAAAGTCCACGCCCAATGAGAGGCTCAGCTCCTTGCCTTTGTAGAAATGAGCCAGTGTAAGAGCCTGTCCAGGCGTGCACGTGTATATGTGCGTGTGGGCAGTGAAAAAGGAAGCTGAAAAAGGAGAGGTGAGACCCCCTCCACATAAGTGCGATGAGACAAGAGCCCAGAAGGCCCCGCCTCTTCCTGGTGCCCTACAAAAGGCTGGCTGCTTCTCCCCGATGGTGCCAGGAAATTATCCCAGAGAAATCCACCCACCGTGCGCCACGGGACACAGCCTGCCCCACCCCCGACTGACTTGTTCCCTGGGACATCATCATGTTGGGCACTCCCCCCAGGATCCAGAAGAGAGCACAGCAAAAGTGTCAAAGGAGGAGATGTGATCTGGTAGACAGGGGTGAGCACCCACTGTGTGCCAGGCACTGTGCTAAAGGCTGGCGATACAACTAAGACAGAGAGGGGCAGCTAGGTGGCCTTGGAGTCAGGAGGACCTGAGTTCAAATCCAGTCTCAGACACTTAACACTTACTAGCTGTGTGACCCTGGGCAAGTCACTTAACCCCAACTGCCTCACCAAAAAGAAAGAAAAAAAAAACTAAGAAAGAGAAAGGCAGACCCTGCCTGCAAGGAGCTTACAATCCAGTGGGGGAAGATGATGCATGCCAGGAAGCTGAAGGGGGGGGAGGGCGAGGCCTGGGGGTACCATTGCACTGGGGGTACAGTGGAGACAGTGCAGTCAAAACCAGGCGGAGCCAGGGTGGCAAAGGGAGAGAGAGCTGGGCGTCTGAACCCTCCTCTGCCTTCTCCTCCGGCCCCCCAATCAGAGGGTCCTGCAAGGTGCGAAGGGTAAAGCTGAAGGATGATCTTCCTAGAAGCAGCCGTGGAAGATGGGCCGTTGGCCCACACAGAGACCTCGAGCGGTAGGAGGGTGGCTCAGACCCTCGAGGGGCCAAATGGTTGCTGAGGGGTCTGAAAGCCAAAGGTCCAAGGTGTTGGGACAAAACTGGAAAACTGGGGAGGCTTCGGCAGAGACTAGGTATGCACCGACACCTCCCACCCTATGTAGAGATGCGGTCAATGTGGGGATGCGGCTTGACCACAAAAGGTAACACCACAGCAAATTAGGGAGCATGGGATAATTCACCTGTTAGAGCGACAGATGAGGAAGAATTTAGGACCAAATGAGACACAGAGAGGATCATGGGATGCAATCTGATTACATGAAATTTTAAAAGTTTTTGCACAAACAAAACCAATGCAGCCAGGAAACTGGGGCAAAAACGTTTTACATCTAGTTTATCTCACATACGGGGAATTGAGTCAAATTTATAAAAATAAGGGCCATTCCCCACTTGTTAAATGGCCAAAGGATATGAACAGGCAGTTTTCTAAGAAATCAAAGCTATGTATAGTTACATGAAAACATGCTATAAATCACTATTGATTAAAACGGGTCTAAGGTACCGCCTCACATGTACTAGACTGGTCAATATGACAAAAAAGGAAAATGACAAATGCTACAGGGGATGTGGGAAACTTGGAACACTAATGCACTCTTGGCGGAGCTGTGAAACAATCCAGCCGTTCTGGAGAATAATGTGGAACTATGCCCAAAGGGCTACAAAACTGTGCACGCCTTTCAGCAATACCATCACGAGGCCTGTATCCCAAAGAGATCAAAGGGGGAGAAAAGGACCTGTTTGTACAACAAGACTTCTAGCAGCTCTTTCTGTGGTGGCCAAGAACTGGAAACCAAGGGAATGACCACCAGCTGGGGAATGGCTGAACAAGCTGTGGCATATGAATGTAAAGGAAACTATTGTGCTGGGAAAAAAAACAAGCAGGGTGAAAAACCTGGAGAAACTTAGACGAGCTGATGCAGAGTGAAGGGAGCAGAGCCGGGAAAACACTGCACACAGTAACAGCCACCCTGCGGGATGGCTGACTTGGACGGGTTCAGCTCCTCTCAGCCACACTAAGATCTGAGACATCTCCAAAAGTCTCAGGGCAGAAAACGCCATCCGCGTCCACAGAACAGCCTGCCGTGTCTGAGGGCAGACTGAAGGGGCCTTTTTTTAACTTATCATTCTTGGGTGTTTTGATCTGAGTTTTCTTTTGCAACATGGCTTATGTGGAAATGTTTGGCGTGACTGCACATGTATGACTGATATCAAATTGCTTGCCTTCTCAAGGAGGGGCGAAGGGAGGGAAGAAAAGAGGGAGAGAATATGAAATCCAACTTTTTTTTTAAAGAATGTTAAAATTTTCGTAATTCAGAAAAAAATGAAAAGGTTTTTTAAAAAGTCTAAAACCAGAACAGCTCTTCAGCCAACAGGAAGAGGTCACCGTCCCCGGGCTGCAGAGCGACCAGATGTAGCAGATGCCTCATCTCAGCCCAGTTTCTACACAGAATCCAAGTACTTTCTGACCAAAGGGCCTAATAAATCAGCCATGACTTTCAGCGCCACCAGGAGAATTTATTCCAAGCAACAAGTGCAAAGCCAGCCTCTTAGGAAGGCAGGGTGAGAATGTGGCTGAGAACAGATCGGCTGGGTCACTGCTGCTTCAACCTTCCAGACCCTCCGACTCCAGGGCACAAAGGTCTCAGTGACAGGCAGCGCAGACAAAACAAAAAACACCAGTTACTGGGCAGCTGGATCAGCCTCGAAGCCCCGTCTCCTAATCCTGCCCCCTCCCGCCACCCGCCCCCTGCACCCCACACAGCAGAAGGCCTGCGAACCCTCATGGGTTTCCTTCCTGGGAAGTCCTTGTTAATGACAGGCACTCCTGGCCGTGAAGAGCCGAGGCCGCCCCTCCTCCTCCACGCGTGGCCCTACCGCCGCAGGCCCACTCCCCAAGCCAAGCTTCCCCCTTACCGTGTAGGACATGACCAAGTTAATCATCCCTTCTTTGTCATCGCCCTGTCTTCCACTTAAGCTGTACCATTCATCCTCCACCTTCCCTTGTTTGAGAGACTCAGGAATCGTGATGTGCGTCCATGCGATGCGGTCATCCATGGAGAAGGCGCGCTGAGAAGAACATGCCGGGTTACTGAGCTCTTCCCTGCCTGCGGCCTCTCGTCAGGACCAGAGCAGACGTCCACCCTGCCCCCACTCCTGCTACAGTGCTCTGAGCAGAAAACTGGCCACAGGCGCACAGGATGCATGTGGATTAGAATACAGTTTTAAACAAAATAAAATAAAAATAATAAACTTTTAATAAAAGTTTTAAAAACAGACGTTAGAAATTGTTTTCACATGCAACTGGAAAATAAAATATTCAGGCAATGGGGTACTGCCCTATAGGAAAACAGAAGGGGAATGGGATAAGAAAAGGGGTGGGGGGAGATAGAAAGGAGGACAGATTAGTGGAAGGGGTATTCAGAATGCATGCCATCTTGGGGTGGGGGGTGGGACGACATGGGAAAAAATCTGCAACTCAAAATCTTGTGTAAGTGAATGTTGAAAACTAAAAATAAATTAATTAAATCATTAAAAACCCTTTGACCCAGCAATAGTACTTCCAGGGCTATATCCCAGAGAGATCATACAAATGAGAAAAGGACCCACATGTGCAAAAATGTTTATAGCAGCTCTTATTGTGGTGGCAAAGAATTGGAAATTGAGGAGATGCCCATCCATGGGGGAATGGCTGAACAAGTTGTGGTATATGAATGTAATGCAATACTATTGTGCTGTAAGAAATGATGAACAGGCAGACTTCAGAAAGACCTGGAAAGATCTGTATGGTCTGTTGCTGAGCGAAGTGAGCAGAACCAGGAGAACGTCGTACACAGTAACAGCCACGTTGTGCGATGACCAACGTTGATAGACTTAGCCCTTCTCAGTAATACAAGGATCTAAGACATCTCCAAAGGCCTCATGATGAAAAATGCTATCCACATCCAAAGAAAGAACTATGGAGTCTGAATGCAGATCAAAGCATACTACTAGCTATTTTTTTCTTCTGTTGTGTTTTGTTTCCTCTTTCTGGTGGTTCTTCTTATCGGCTCTAATTCTTACTTACATCACTAATGTGAAAATATGTTTAATAGGAATGCATATGTATAGCCTATATCAGATTGTGCACTGTCTTGGGCAGGGAGGTGAGGAGGGAGGGAGAGAAAAATTGAAAATTCAAAAGCTTATGGAAGTGATTGTTGATAATTCAAAATAAATTAATTTTTTAAAAATCTGAAAAAAAAAAAGAATACCCCTACCCCTGGCTGCTCCGAGTGGGCAAAGCCATCAGCAGCTCCTGGCCTCGGCCATCTTCTCAACGGTCTACCACCAGGAACGTGTAACTAACAAACCATCACGGCCCCCTCACCTCCCTGGGACGAATTCGGCAGGGAGAGAGGTGGGAGATGAGGGCCAAAAAGGAGCCGGTGCGTCTCCTGGGGCCCCCACAAGCTGGTCAGGAAGAAGAGCCCTTCCTTGCTGTGTGTGAGCCCAGCTGTACCACTCACAGTTTCTCAGCCTCAGTTTCCTTATCTGTAAAATGAGGATAATGAGAGCAGGTCATCACCCTCAGAGGGCTGTACAGACATCTGCAATCATCATTACTACTCTTACGTGACTTTACCATAGGCAACACGCTCCTTGTCACTGCACATGGAGGCTGCTTTGGCAGTCCTCAGAGCTAACTTGGTGTTACGAAGATCTCAGAACAGAGAGGGGGCTCTGGGTCTCTAATAATCCTTTCAGGGAGTGTTTTCTACAGTGGAATTTTTGGGGAGGAGGAAGGGACGCTTCCTCCAAAAACGCCCCAAACCTCCTAACCGCGTGGGCCTGTCAGCAGCCATGGGATGGGGAAGGTGCCACCCCAGTGGGGTCTGAGGCATCACTTCTTTGATCAGATTTGAGATGTCATTTTAAAAATCCTTAAAAAGTTCTATTCCCAGTGAAGCCAGGACAACAGGACCAGGTAGAAGCCAGTGAATTCCACCTTACTTCTCCAAACAGACCTAGAAATGCACCAGACCAAAGCCTGATGAGAAAATCCAAGACAAAGTCACAGTGGGTCCTTTGTCCAGCTCAGGTCAGCAGACCGGAGACAGACAAGGTCTGGCCAGGAGTGACTGCGTGGAGCCTTCCTTCCAGCCCAGGCCGGGGCTGTCCACTAGGGCCAAAGGAGGCCCCACACCCTCTCGATGGGAACAGGAGCCAACTGGCGGGTCTGTTGCCCACTCCCAAGTTTTAGGGCAGAATAAAGATGGGACCCCAGGTGTGGCACTCCCAGGAAAGGGGCAATCATAGGCCCTAGGCAAGGACAGAGGAGAAGAGCAGGTTCAGAAGCAGCAGCTTGGGGGTAGCTCAGACTCAGGAAAAAGCAAGAAACAGGGCAGGAACCCCAGACCAAAGGGGAGTCTGCATTTCTCTCACTCAGAATGAGCTGGCAGGGGCTCAGTCCAGCAGCATCTGCTGTTGTTCAGACCCGCCAAGTCACTAACCTGCCAAGCTCGGACCAGGGAGCAGAGATCAGATTGCCTCTGGAAGCCGTGAAAGTCTGCAGGTCCTGAGCCTAGATAACCCCACGAGAGCAGCAACAGAACCAACCCAGGCCTGCCCTACAGAAGTGTGCCTAGAGCTTACATCAAATCCAAAGTCGGGACACGCACTGGAAGAATCCCACCATAAAAAGCTACCATGGTAACAGAGATGCTGAAGAGAGACATGGTAGAAGAGGACGATGACTCCAGAACATCTACAGGCAAAGCCTCAACAAAAAACAAACAGAAACGGTCACAAATCCAACAAGAATTCTGGATGAGAGGAAGCAAGCGCTTAAAAGGAACCTCACAGCAAACACAAACAGCCTGGAAAACAGACCAGAGAAAAGAACTGCCAGAATCCTTGGATTTGCTGAAAGCCAAGCCCAGAGACCGGACGTCAGATTTCAAGAAATTCTAAAAGAAAACTGCCCAGATCTCTTGGAACCAGGATCCACGAGGTACCCCCGAAAGAACACCCAAAAGGAAAGCATCAAAGCCCAAACCCTGAGCTTTCAGGTCAAAGAGAAAACACCACAAGCCGCCAGAAAGAAAGAATGAGAGTCCCAAGGAGCCAGAGTGGGTACTGCAAGTGACTTAACAGCCACAATCAGAAAGGAGTGGAGAGCCTGGAATGAGCTATTCTAGGAGACAAAGGATTTAGACTTGATACCTGCCCACAAAACTGAACATAATCATCCAGGGGAAATGGGGCCTTTAAGGAGACAGAGGAACCCCAAGCATTCCTGCTGAAAAGCCTCGAGCTTTGGAGAAACTCCAAGTTCAAACACAGGAGTGAAGGGAAACATAAAAAAGTCAACACGAAGGAAGAGGACCAAACGTGGATGGACTGCTCCCACTCTAAATCCACTGCCATCAAGGGCCACAGAGGAAGTCTAGTTAGGCAAGGCTCCACAGCAATTCTGTTACGTCTTGATGTACTTAAGTAAAAGAGGGGGAAGGGGAATACACAGTGTGTGGGGAGGGTGAGGGGGTGAAGAGAAGCTTAGGGAAATGTATCTCACATAATCAGGGCGAGGAGGAGGAGGAGAAGGTCGGAGATGGCATCTTCACATGAGCATCGCTCTCACCTGAACTGGTCAAAAGAAGGAAGAATGCGTGCACACACAGATGCACATACATACACACAAAAACACATTTCACCCAAGGGGAGACAGGAGTGCAAAGGGAGAGGGGCAATAAGAGGGAGGACAAACTCTAAGGACACACAAAAACATCTGTAGCTTTCTTTGAGGTGGTGAAGAAGGGGAATGTGAGGGGTGCCCCTAAATTGGGGCATTGCCAAACAAGTGATAGAATATAAATAACAACCCCAATTCCAAAGGACTGGTGATGAAAACTGCTACCCACCTCCTGAGAGAGGGGCAGGACTGAGGGGTCGCATGAGACCTGGCTTTTTGGTCACAGTCAAGGTGGAAATCTGACTACACATGTATAAGCAGGGTTTTGTCTTCCTTTCATTCTCAACTGGAAGTATGGGGGGGAGAGAAGGATTTTTCCTGACTGAAAAAAATAAAGCATAATTTGAAAACAAGAACAAAACAACTGTTTCCTCTGCTGAATGTTGCTGATGGCCTTTAATCATTGATCCACTGTAGACTGGGTGTCAGGGAGCTTTTGACAGAACCTCACACGTACTTCCTAGGCCAAGCTTTCCAAATTTTTCCAATGTTCATTCTAAATACCCTAATCTAGCACTGTTCTTTTCTAAATCGTATTTTCTCTGTGGTCCAGAATTTGCTTCGGTCAATCTGTCTCACCCATGATTCCTTCTATGTGTCAAATCTAAAACGTTCCAAAGGAACACTTCATCCGGTGTTCTCTGCTAGCCTGTGCATGTTCACATGCTTTAATCCACCTGCAGGGGTGAAGCAGGGCCTGAGCTGCTTTCATTTCTCTCGTCAGATGTGGGGGCATTCTGTCGTGTTTGCTGACTCGGCGAGTCAGACCCTACGCGTTTCCAGAGTGCTGGGGACACAGAACAAAGGCAAATACAGTCCCTGCTCCCAAGGGGCACAGCAACATGATCCGCTGGCATGAGAGGGCACACGCACCCAGGAGGACCAACACACGTATATACCACATACACACCACACACACACACACACACACACACACACACACACACGCACACGCACACACTCTCACACGACACGCACCACACATGCTGTACCCACAGACAGTCAAGATGGAGAAAATGGAAGGCAAGAAACCCCCCTCCGGCTGCTCTGCTGTCACCCCCTCCAGGGGAACCACCATTTATGTGGCACCTTCTCTGGTCCGGCTGCTCCTTCTCCCCCTCCCCTCTCCTGGCCCAGCTCCTGCCTCTGACCCTTGGCCGCTCCCAGGGCCAGCCACGCGGAGGAAGGAGGCCACATGCAAAGGGCCCTGGCCGGGGAGTCCGAGCACCTCCACCCCAATCCTGACTCCAGCTCCTCCTATGAAGAGCTGGCCCGGGGACCCTCCCTCCCAGCCCCGGGCCAGGCTGCCATCCTCATGCCTTGAGGCTTTCTGGGGAAGGGAGGCGGGAAAGCCAGGCCATGGAGGCAGGGGGCAGGGGCGCCGAATCTGTGGCTGCCAGGCCCGGGCAGGCCCAGGTCCCCTTCCTGCATCTCACCTCATCAAAGATCTCCAGGTAGAAAGAGTCCACGCCCGGGGGCACCGTGCACTGAATCACTTTGTTCCACCGAGGGTTCTTGGCACCATTGTGGGCAGTGGCTGTTTCGTATACGGCGTAGCCCAGCCGGATGCGGCAGTACGGATCCATGCGGGTCACGCCGTAGTTCTTCGCCAACTTCGCCTGCAAGAGAACCAAGTCAGGGAAAGGGGTGTGAGGGCCCGGAGCGTCTGCCTGCCTCACGATGGGGGTTCTTTGTGACTCATGCCAGCTGCCAAAACATTTCCTACACTTTGCAACTGAAAATCAGGTCGCCACACACCAGATCTAAGAGCTTTCTTCCCGGTTCCCGCTGACCCGGGAGCCACCGCCCAGATGGGGCTTGAGGAAATCTCCCTAATGGGACAGCATCCCAAAGGGGCCTGGGCTGCTATGGCAGGTGGTGAGCTCCCCGTCCTCAGAGGGGGCCTCAAGCAGAGCCAGATTCCCCCTGGCAGAGATGCCTCAGGGATTCCCCCAACTCCTAGCTGGTACCTATCATGCATACACAGCTACCCTCAAACGGAACATTAAGAGAAGAAGAGTAAAGGCAGCTAGTCATTTCAGCCATGGACAGGGGCCACTAAAAGACATAAAACACCCCACTTCTGGGACCACCTGGCAATGGATGGCGCCTGACCTCACACTCGCCACTGAGGCCTGTCCAGCTCTGGCCTCCTAGAAAGGAGAGGGCACAAGGCAGGAACCTTGGAGTAAATACAAGAGATCTCCCTGTGCCAATCCAACACAAGCAAGCCCACCCCTCGCCTTCTCCCCCACCTGGGCCACAGACTCACCCCCTTCTGTGCCTCAATGTCCTCCCAACGCCCACGTCGTGGGTGCAGCCTCAGGATGCCTAGGCCTCGCTGGCAGCCAGTGGCTGCACTCCCCCAATTCGAGCAGGCCCCGTCCCACCGAGAACGTATGGAGCTCTGACCAGTGCTGGCCCCGCACTCTTGGAATCCATAACACCAGACGTCCATCAGGAGAGGCAGCCTCACCCTCCAGGCACGCCCATCTGCTGACGGCAGTCACTGCCAGGGCTCAGAGCGGCCTCTCCCGAGGGAGGCCTAGTGCCCGCTGGCAACCCTGCCCAGCGCTGGTGGGTTAGGGCACGTCTCGGGGGCAAACAGTGTGGATGGCCATGGCCTGGGCCCCCAGGGGCCCCTCAGCTTCCTCACTTTAGAACTACATGTGGCAAAGGGGACGTGTTTCAGATCTTAAATGTCCCCCGATGCAGCTGACCTTTTGTCTCCCAGCCTAGAAGTGGCAACTCCCCTGTGATTTTCATTCACACAAGCCGCCTTTCTGGGGAGCCTTCCCAGGAGACAGCCTCACTGGGCTCAGGACTGCCCTGGTCTGTGAGGCTGGCCCCAAAAGCAAAAGGAAACTCAACACACTGGGAGGGCCCTGGCCTCCAGGGAAAGAAGCACTGATGGGAAGCAAGAAGGCCCAGCGAGCTTCATTCGTGTGAGGCAGCGGACCAATGAGGCGAGGCTTTTTTTTTTAAAGAAATACATCTCTACTTTGAGAACCAGATGGATCTGCAGGCAAACTCTACCCAACATTTAAAGAAGCAGCTCCAATTTCACATTTATTTTTTGCAAGAACTGTAAGAAATGGCACCTTTTTAAATTCCTTCTATGAGACAAATCCAGTCCTGACACCTAAAGCAGGGAGAGATAAATCATTAAAAGGAAACTAAAGAAATAAATTACTGTTGTTCACTCATGTCTGACTCTCCACGGCCCCATTTGGGGTTTTCTCAGCAGAGATGCTGGAGTGGTTGGCCATTTCCTTCTCCAGCCTATTTTACAGATGAGGAAACTGAGGCACACAAGTAAATGGGACTGGCCCAGGGTCACACAGCTAGGAAGTATCTGAGGCTGGATTTGAACTCAGGTCTTCCTGATGCCAGACCTGATGCACTGCACGACCTAGCTGCCTAGAAAATTAGGAAAACTCTCAATGTGACAGGCCATATTAAAAATAAAACCAACAGAAATCATGAGGGAGAGATGCAGCTAAAAATCAACAATTCGCTTCAGTAAAGGAGCAGGACAGAAACGAGCCCCCCAAGCCTCACCATTTCTGTGGGTGTGCTGACGGGAGGCCCGCAAGTTCCGAAGTGGAGGTGAGGAAGGAAAGTGCAGAGGCCATGAGGCACAGCTAGTGCAAAAGCACAGGGGCTGGAGACGGAAACCTCAGCGTCGGCAGCATGGCTGAGTCAAGGGTAAGGCACAGGGAGGGGACGCAGCCCTCGGCAGGCCTCAGAGAGATCTCCGGACAGGGAATGAGGAGCAGAGGATCATAGGAGATGAAGCAGACAAAGGTGTCGCCCAGACAAAGGAGAACAAGGAATCTCTGGGAAGGCCCGCTACCCTAGGCGAGGCGCACATGTACTACGCGCACACGCTCAGTGGCTGTGGACGCGGGACGCCGCCCCCTTTGGTGGAAGGCCCTTGGAATGATGCCCCCAAAGCCAGGGAAAGAAGGGCAGGTTTCTGTCCCGGCAAAGGCCTTGAAGCCGAGCAGCTGCCACCGCCACTGGCTTCACATGCTTTGCCTCTGGCCACCTGGATAGAACCCTCACTGGCCTGGGGCTCTTCCGACTTTTCCTCTAGACAGTCACAATCCTGGCTACTGGAATGAGAAGGGCAGGCTGAGACACAGCAGTGGAGACAGGGCCCCCTTCCTCACTCCACATCTCGGGCCTTCTCCTCACCCACCAAATGGGCTTCAACAGGAGGGAGGGCAGTAGTGAGACCACCAGCCCCTGTGAACAAGTCAGAAGAAAAGAGAAAGGCCAGAAAACGGCCCGGCACAGAGCAGCAGCACCTGCCACAGGCCTCGTTTGATGCAAAAACAGGTGAAACACAAAGAGGCAAAGGGGGTGCCTTTGGGCGTCACCATCATAGTTCCTACCAACGTGCCCACACGGAGGGGAACGGCCAAGATGTGGAAGCTAAAGCTGGCAAGGCCTGGGTCACTCAGCGAAGCCCAAGCCGCAACAGCTGAAGCCCCGGGGCACCGGGGCAGAGGATTAGGACCTGAGAACAAGAGGCTCCATCGTGCAGGAGGACAGAAAGGGGGCTGGATTGGGGGGATGCTCAGGCCAGGAGAGCCGTACTTGGGAGTCCGACCCCGCAACCCCCCGCACTGCAAGTGGAAGCTGCGCTGGCCAGAGAAACAGCAATCAGACAGACCGAGGGCGAGGCGGGCAGGGGAGGTCAGATGCTAGATCAGCAACCTGTGACAGACGCCATGGACGCCGACGGGCCACCACCGAGCAAGAGAGGCTTCCTGCGGCCGCAGAGCCCACAGCCTGGCAGAAGGAGGAAGGTGGCCAGAGCATGGGCAGCAGGGCAAGACAGCGCCACTTCCTCTCTTTCTCTCTGAGCCCAGGGCCCCCGAAGGAAGAGGCTGGAGATCAGGGAGCTCGGCCCGAAAGCGTCCAAGGCAGAGCCAGGGTGGCCTCACAGGCCTGACTGGACTCACCCGCCAGACTGAAGAGAGAGGGGCAGTAGGTGGTGACACTGGAAAAGCGCGGGGCTGACCCCGCAGCGCACAAGGGGGTGGTCCAACAGGGTAAGTGCTGTCCCTTCTTATCTAACCCTCTCTTCTGTCTGTCTTTTCTGGACTGAAATGTTCCTGTCTGATTCCTAAATTCACAAAAAATACCCAAACCAATTTAGACATTTGACTGCGGGCGGCCGAGCCAGAGAAGTGGGTGGGTGAGCCCACAGGGTTTTCTGGAGCCCCGCTGCCGAGTGGCCTCCTTCTGGGAGACGCCCTTCGGCCTACGCTAAGAGCCCGCAGAATGCAGGCTGCCCCAAGGACTCTCCCAGGCCATGAAACCCAAGCAGCCCCGGCTGCCTGAGGATGTGGGCCCTGTGAGGGAGGGTGCCCGGGGCGGGGCTCCCCAGATCCGTCTATCTGCACAGTTGTTGTGCCAACTGCTTCAAGCTCCAAACCATCATCAGACAAGCCTCTCGATCGCGCTCCAGACAAAAATAAAACCATCACATTAACAAGCCACACGGGAAAACTTCCACTCCAGACTGGGACGTGCAGATGGACAGAATGGTCTGCATTCACCCCCAGCACACCTCGAAGACCCCTGGCACAGCCACCCCCTGCAAGGAGACCACAGAGCAGCAAAGACACTGAGAAACCAGGACAGGTCCTCAACAAGGATGCGGGATCCCCGATGGACGGCCGGGAGTGCGCTGCCCGCCTGTAGCCTTTGTGGATGGCTGGCCCAGGCCGCAGAGAACAGGAGCCCTGGGACATGGAAGCATGCATCCACTGACGTAGGGCAGCCCACCCTTGGCTGTGACCTGCCGCCACCCTCTGGGTAGCCAGAGGCAACATTCAGCAGGGTCAAGGCTTTGTCTTCTCTCCACTGTCTAAGGAGGATTTTCAAGATAAACTCTCAGCTATGAAAAAGGCAAATCACTCCCATGCACAAAGAAATCCTTTCACTTTGGCCATCTGAAAAGCTGCCCTCCAGTGAATTTCTCTGGGAAAAGCCCGAAGCCCTCTCCCACGCTCCCACGTGTGCCCAGGGCCCACAGCGCCCGCCCTTCTCCTGACCACCTGGCCAGACCCCAAGGGAAGAGAGGAAGCCAGTACCTGCACCACAGTGATGCTGAGGCGACCCAAGGTGTTCAAGGCTCCGCCGTACTGTAACTGCTGCGCAGCCTGTGCGTCCAACTGGATCTGCTGCTGCTGCTGCGTGGGGGTGATGCGCAGGAAGTCCTGGGGCAGCTCGCCAATGTAAACCTGGAGGAAGAGAAGGGCGCGGCTGAGCGGGGCGCCTCAGGGTGGGGGCGGGGCCGGAGTGTCCACCTCTCTGGACAGATCCCAAGGCTGGCAACTTTGTCCCCGGACAGAGCCCCCACGGCCTCGTGGAGACGGCAGCCCCGGGACACACGGAGGCAGCTCCCCTGCACCCCTGCTGTCTCCTCATCTCTCAGCCGAATGGCCTCATCGTGGCCACCTCCCCAGCTCATTCAGCAATGCCCAGCTCCCACAACTAGCCACCACACCCCAGAGGATATTGGGGGAGGGCAAAGGACAGACCTTCACCTCCCCCTCCCACAAGCTCTGCCTCTCCTACAGCAGCAGCCCCAGATGACACGGTCCCATTGCTGGCTGCAAACCCACCACCTCACCAACTCATGGTGTGAACAAATAGGGAGGGGGAAGAGAGTAAGCATTTATACAGAACCTGTCCTGTACCAGGAACTTTACAAATTCTATCTCATTTGGGGGGTGTGTGTGTGTGTGCGTGTGTGTGTGTGTGTATGTGTGTGTGTGTGTGTGTGTGTGTCTCTCTCTCTCTCTCCTCCACCCCCCTACTCCGGTCTTTCCCACATCACACTTGGGATGTTGAGGGTTTTGTCCACACGTGCCAGACTATTTATTTATCTCTACTGAATTTAATCTCATGAAGTCTGGCCCAAGGCTCCAGCTTCTTGGGGCCCTCCTTCTGGCTCCCGACTCTGTCATCCACAGCATTGGTTGCCTCTCAGCTCTGTGCCAGCTGCTCAATGGGTAAATTTGCTACATACATCTTGGATAAAAATGGCAGATGGCAGGTACAGATCCCTGGGGCCTCCTCCACTTGAGACCTCCTACCACAATGACAACGAACCATGTACGGCCAGCCTGTGAGTCTGGCCATCCAACCACCTCTGAATCTGTCTGACTACACTGAGGAAACAGAGAATATTACCCAGTTCACGCATCCCTTCATGAATGCGCACGTTCTTTCTGCGCTGAAAAGAGCTCGTGGGTAGGGAGGACCCAGGTCATACTTGTTTGGTCACCCACAGTGGAGGCACACCCTGGTTATCTGACTGATGTTGACATGGCAGCAGGCCTCAGAAATCCAACCTTGAGGCCTCTGGTGACTTGGGAATTTTTTTCCCTCTTACAAATGAGGCAACTGAGGCCCAGAGGGATCAAGGTCACACAGCTTGACGGTGACACCCCAAGAGTCTCCCGGCCGGGCTGCCCTGACACAATTCAGCAGGTCGGCCCTGTGTCGTACTCGGCCTCTCTGCACCCGTCCAAACAGACCTTTTGATAATTTTCATTTCACAAAGAGATCAAAGAAGAAGGAGAAGGACCTCTCCACCTCTCCACAGTCACATTGACAGCAGCTCTCTTTGTGGTGGCCAAGAACTGGAAGCTGAGGGGACGCCCCTCCACTGGAGAATGGCTGAACGAGGCGTGGTGCATGAACTGTGCTGAAAGAAATGATGAGCGGGCAGACTTCAGAAAAACCCAGGAAGACTCCAAGGAGCCAACGCTGAGTGAAGCGAGCAGAGCCAGGAGAACGTTGGACACTGTAGCAGCAACGCTGTACCAATGAGCAACTGTCAATGATTGGCCCTTCTTAGTGACACGATGATCCGAGACAATGTCGAGGGACTCAGGATGAAAAAGGCTCTCCAAGGAAACCGATGAACTTGGAGTACGATTAAAACACCCTTTTTAAACTTCATTTTCCTGTCTGTCACTGGCCAGTTGTCTTCAGTCACGTCTAACTTCATGACCCCGTTTGGAATTTTCTTGGCAGAGGTACTGGAGCGGTCCGGCTCATCTTACAGATGAGGACACTGAGGCAAGCAGGATCAAGTGACTTGCTCAGGGTCACACTAGTCAGTGTTGGAGGCTACATTTGAACTCAGAAGCCTGACACTCTGCACTATGGCGCCACCTAGTGGCCCTGTAGCTGGGTGTTTTCTTTTGGAACATGGCTAACATGGAAATGTGTTTTGCATGACTTCACGTGTACAATCGATATCAAATTGCTTGCCTTCTCAAGGAGAAGGGTGGGACAGGAGCGAGGGACAGAGAATTTAGAACTCAGAATTTTTTTATAACAAATGTTAAAAAAATTTTACATATAATTGGGAAATATTTAATGAAATAATGTCACAAAGAAAAATTTCATTTTCTTTACAACGTCCCCCACCAAGACTGATCGAAGTCCATACATCAGCAGAAGCATGAAGAAGTCAGCAGCCTCGGGCCCAAGGACCAGCTTAAATTAGGGGCTGGACCCCGGGCTCCATTTTGGTCAGGTACCATCGAGCGCTCCTAACTAGATCTGGGAGCTTATGTAAACCTGCTCTTCCCCGCAGCACGGCACCAATATTCATGACTCCAAAAACCAGGGCCAGAGGACACCCCCAACTCAAGGCTGTGCAGATTCACTGTGCGCAAAGCCTCAGTTCAGAAAATCAGCCACAGCTTCTGCCAGTTCTCATGGCCTAACTATGCAAAGGATTCCAAATGAATGACCACCTCTAGAGCTGCCAACATCTTACACTGTGTTAGGAAACGAAAGGCTTCTTGGCGTCAGCATTTAAGATGTCTGTCAGCAGGAAGATGCCTTTTTAAAAAGTACAAAGGAGGAAAAACCAACCCCATGCTACAGAAACGGAGACCTGACCAGCACGCTGAGGCGCTCTGGGCTTCGTCCATTCAGCCAGTCAGAAGCGTTCACTAACCCTGGGAATGAAGGTCACACCAGAGCCAACAGAGCTTGAACATTTTCTTTGGGACCTCCTCCCGAGCAGCCCCCACTCCACCCCAATGATAACCCTTTCCTCTCTCCAAGCTAAGTCTAGACTCCAAATTTACCTCCAAGAACCCTAAAAGTGAAGGGGCCTAGAGGCCCAAACCATCTGGTCCGTGCAGCTCATCCCTCAATGGCAGTCTCCTGGTGCCAAAGACATCCACCTTGCCTTGCTTCCTAGCTGTGTGGCTGGGCATGAGCATCTCAATCAACTAAACTTCATTAAACACCTACTGTGTGTCAGACCCTGGGTACGTGTATGAAGAAAGAACCAATTCCTCCTCACCAGGAGCTTCCATTTCTCATGGGGAAGAGGCAGACATATGGATGTGTATATTATATAAACGTGCAGGTAACAGCCCCCCACACCCACACGCCCCAAATGGTTAAACCCAAGGTGGCAGTTCATGGAGGCAACTGGACACAGAAGAGGGTGTCTGAGCTAAGCCTGTCTTGGGAAGGCAAATGGCCGGCCCCAAAGGCACCAAGAAGCCAGGTAATGGCGCGGTGGCCAGTACGGACAGGGTGGGAGCCACACCAGGGAGGCTGGAAACTCTACCCACACACCAATGAGATCATGGCCACTCGGTGCTCCGCTGACCCCAAAAAAGCCTCAGAAACTTCTTCTCCTCTGAATTCCCATGAGGACCAAGGGGTCCTGGGATGAGGGGTGGGCTGCAGGAAGCCTAACACATGGGCAGCTCTGGGGCTCTGCACACCGGCAGCTCCAGCTGGGAAGGCTGGAATGCCACAGGGGATGCCCGGTGCTGGAAGCCAAGTTGTCCTGAATGCTCAGATAAACCAAAACAGCCCAAAGATCGGCAGCTCGGACCTTCCTTCTTCTCACTGTGCATGTGTGTGTGTGTGTGTGTGCATGCGTGTGTCCATGCACATGCCTGTGTGTGTGCACATGTGTGTATCTGTGTGTGCGTGTGTCTCTGTGTGCATGTGTGTCTGTGTGTGCACACGTGCGTGTCTGTGTGTGCAAGTGTGTCTGTGTGTATGCACATGTGCATGTGTGTCTGTGTGTGCATGCATGTCTGTGCGTGTGTCTGTGTGCACATGTGTGTGTATCTGTGTCTGTGTGTGTGCACATGTGCGTGCGTGTGTATCTGTGTCTGTGTGCGTCTGTGTGTGTGCACATGTGCATGCGTGTGTGTCCTGCGTGTGTCTGTGTGTGTGAGTGTGTCTGTGTGTACGAATGCGTGTCTGTGTGTACAAATGCGTGTCTGTGTGTGCACGTGTGTGTGTGTCTGTGTGCATCTGTGTGTGTGCACATGTGCGTGCGTGTATCTGTGTCTGTGTGCGTCTGTGTGTGTGCACATGCGTGTGTGTCCTGCGTGTGTCTGTGTGTGTAAGTGTGTCTGTGTGTACGAATGCGTGTCTGTGTGTGCACGTGTGCGTGTGTCTGTGTGCATCTGTGTGTGCATGTGTGTCTGTGTGGGCAGCCAGGGACAGAGACGCCACCTGTGCTTTCCTTGCAGGACCCTCTCTGATCAGTCCCAGAGGCAGGTGAGAAGCCAGGTCCTTCCTGCTCCACTCCAGGAGCTAGCAGGTGCCGCTACACTCTTGGGGTGTTGAGGACTCGCGGGTGCACAGCCACCTGGCTTTGTCACTAAAGCAGGCACAAATGGTGAGGGGGTGAGAACCCTAGAACCCAAGCCCAACACAGCGGGACCCAAGCTGGAAGACCTGGGACGAGACAACAGAAGTGAAGGGGACCAGGAAGCCCAGCTCACCATGTCCTGTTAGGGGGATCAAGACAAAATGACGACTCCAGTTCAGAGGACCCTAAAAGGTACGGGGCGGCTGAGGGAGGGTCCGGGCAGACGTCAGGGCCGAGTGTGCAAGGGCTGGGCCCAGAAGGATCCTTCTTCTCTTGGCCTGGTCAGCCAAATCGACACAGGTGCTCCGGGTACCGGCTGCTAGGTACAAAACGCAGGATTCCAGACCCAAGCTTGGCCACTACTGGCAGGTGAGGCAGCAGCACCTCCAAAGCCTCAGGCTGGCCGCAGCCTTGGGCTGAAGGCCTGAGCTCAGCGCTCGTTCTCCTGCTCCTTCCCCCTCCCCTCAGTCCTCTCATTCCCTGCCTCGGGCTCCCGTCTGCAGTCCCCTCTTTCCTGGCACCTGCCACCTGTCTCTTGCCAGGATGGCCACAGGCTCACCCTCCCCTAGGCACCCTACGCCCCCACTGCCACAACTGACCTGAGTCTCCTGCTCCTAGCCACGGCTGCTGAGGCCTGAGGCCCTCTCGCCTCAGAACATCCCTCCTTCCATCACTAAGTTCCTCCCAGCAGCCCAGGCAGGGCCTCCGTGCCCTCGATACCACCCACCCGTCTTCCACCTCTGCTGTAAAACAAGGCTAACAGCAGCATCTCCCTCCCAGAATTGTCGTGACAATCAAACGAGACCCATCTTGTGAGCTCTTAGTGCAGGCCCTGGCACACAGTCGGCGCTACATAAGTGTCAGTCATCACCATCATCCCACAACCCCACACTCCTGCCTCCGCCATTCTCCCATTAACAACCGGCATCTGTGTGGCTCCTGATGTTGGCAAAGCTTGCTACAAAATCAGCTCATGTGCTCCTCACAACAACCCTGGGAGGGAGGGGCTGTTATCATCCCCATTTTACCGACAAGGCCAACAGAGGTGAAGTGAGTTGCCTGGGCTCACCCATCCAGGAAGTGTCTGTGGCTGGATTTGAACTCAGGCCTTCCTGACTTTGAGAGCAAGCTGCTATCGATCAGCCTCACTTTCTTCCTTCCCACGTTTTTTTTGCTGTCCCAAAAAAGGCTGCTGTGAACACGTGGGTATTTCTGTCTTTAACTTCCTCACTGGGCCAAAGGGAAGAAACACTTCAGCAACGAGCCTGTGTTCTTGCCAAAGACACAATGAGATCAAAGTCCTTTCCCGGGGAAGGACTGACGTGGTTGTCACATGCTGGGGAACACTGGGAGTGAATGTGGCCAGGGTCATCCGGGAGGGCAGGTTAGGAAGGGCTTTTATCCTGGGGGTAATAGGGAGTGGGTGGAGGTTACAGGGTAGGTGAGAGAGAGACGGTCAGTCCTGGGCTTCAGGAGAGTCCCTTTGGTGGCTGGGTGGAGGATGGGCTGGAGGGGGGAGCCTGAGGCAGGCAGGACCCCCCTATCTCCCAGACATGAGGGGGTGAGGGTCTGGGTCCAAGGAGAGGAGACTCTAAAAGAGGCCTTGGTGACAGTTTTGGACGTGGGGACAAGAGAGAGAAGAGTCCAGGATGACGCCTCAGTTGTAAATGCGGCTGACCAGAAGGAGGGGCTGCCATGGGCTGAAAGCAGTGAGTCCACAATCATCGCTGACAAAGCCCAAGGGACAACAGACCCTAAAGTCTAGCATGGAGGTGGTTCTCCGAAGCAGACGGCTCCAGAGGAAGGGTCGCCACCAATGAGGCCCACACAGCTGGAGGCAGGAAGCCCCTGGGCTCTCCCGGTTGGGGACTCCACAGCCCAGCTCCTCCCTGAAGACCGCCTGAGGAAATGCTGGGCACAAGTCACAAAAGGGGCAAGAGAAAATTCTGGCTCCTCCAGACCCACTTTCATTAGGCTGCAGGAGAGGTCCTGGGGAAGCCTCTCCTCAGGGAGACGTTCGGCAGTGCCCACTGAAACCGGCCTGGCTCCTCGCTCAGGCCTTCAGCGCCTTGGGAAGGCCCAGGCTTCAGCCCCTCACAGAAGGAGCAGATGAAGGATTAGGGCTAGACCACAGCCACGATGGCACAGTCGAATCTGGAGGGACCTGAGTTCAAATCTGGCCTGAGACACTGGCTAGCTGTGTGACCCTGGGTAAGTCACTTAACCCCTCTACCTCCGCTTCTTCATCTGTACAATGAGCCTCCAGTACCTCCACCCAGAAAACCCCAGATGGGGTCATGAAGAGCCCAACACGACTGAAAGGCCTGAACAACGGCAGAAGCCCAGGATCTCCGCCAGCTCACTAACGTAAGGGTATGGGGGGAGGAGGCTGCGACCTGTCTGCACATGACCTAGACTCCAACTCGTGGAGAAGGGCCCTTTCAGAAGCCGGCATCATGTCACCTTCATTGCAGCAGACACAGAGCACTCCTCCTCCTCCCGAAGATGAAAACCCCCCGACTGAGGAAAAGGAGGACATGCAGACGTGGGGGCTGCCATCCCCCCTGCAGCCTGAGGACCCCCAGCACTTCCCAAAAAGGACAAAGGGACAGGAGGGGGGTCACAGGCTCCTCTCCTCACCACACCGATGGGTTGGGTTCACCCTTGGCCCTGGGAGCTGCCTGTCTGACAGCAGAAGCTGCCCAACAGGTCTGGCACAGGGCGGCACTGACTAGGACCTTTTCTCTGCCATCTGAGCGGGCCGGACAAAAAGGACGAGCCCGTGAGGATGGGCCACTTCCACCGTCTCCCCACACAGCCGGCCCCCTGACCCCAGCCCAGCTCAGCAGGGGGAACGGCTCTCGGCAGCAGGGAAGCAGCGTCTCCCAGCCCAAGGGGCTGAGCTGGCTTCTGTGGCACTCTCACGGGGCAGAAGCGGGGGAGGACGCCCCAAGTCTGCAGAGCAGCCCTTAGGGAGCCGGGCTTTCCTGCCCTCCCCCTCCTGTTGGAAGGTGAGTCAAGCCAAGGCTGCTCCGCTCCCAGCCCAGAGGGCAAGGGCAGGGGGACAGCAGATCACCCCCTCTTCTCCAGGGCGCAGGGCCCAGCCCCCCAAGGAACACAAAACACCATCGACTGTGCCCCCGCCCGCCCCATGGGGGGGCGCGCAAAGCTCCCTACAGAGTGAGGAGGAGCGAGGGAGACCTGGGGAGGAACAGCCCCGCCCTTCGCTGCACCCTCAAACTCGCTCGTCTGCCTTTACACTGGGGACGGCCCCCTTCCCCAGGACCCCAACCAAAATGGAGGGGAGCCTGGTCCTCGCCCCCGAGGACCCCAACGTAGGGGGAGAAAGGAGGGTCCCGGAGCCCGGCCCCTCCCCCACGAGGCCCCAGAGCCCGGCCCCCCTCCCAAAGATCCCACAATGGGGGGGAGGGGATTACAGAGCCCGGCCCCCCTTCCCCCGAGGCCCAGGAGGGGGGAACGGGGTGGGGTAATCAGAGGTGTAAGTCCCAAGGCCCCCCCTCCCCGGGGACCCCCGAGCGTCCCCCTCCGCCTTACCGGGCCCCGCTGGGTGCTGACAGTGGTCGCCATGGCCGCGTCACCCGCTCACCACCCGGACCCGGACCCCGAACACCGGCGCCTCCTCCCCTTCCTCCTCCACTGTCGCCGCCTCGGGCTCGTCAGCTGACTGACCGCCCGGCCGGCCCCGCCCCCGCCCCCGACCCCGGCGCACGGCGCGCAGCCTCACTGCGCAGGCGTAAGTAGGGCCGTGCCCAGCAACAGCCGGCGGGGGGCGGGGCAGCTTCCGCTTCCGACACCCTTTGCGTTCCGCCCCGCCCCCTGCGGAGCCCGGATGTTCTAGGACAAATTCGCGTCTGCGCAGTTCGCCGTCCTCGCGAATGCCTCCTGGCGGCCACTCTTGCGCACGCAACCGAACCCGGTCCGCCTGGGGCATGGGTGGCCCGGGGAGGGCGTGAGGGGACCTCGAAGGACCACCACAAGGGAGGGTCCGGCCAGTCCCTGTCCCCGCATCTCTGAAATACTTCCAAGGACGGGGAGCTCACCCCCTTTCCAGGACCTCCCCCTCTGACTTAGGACGGCTCTCACCGTTGGGGTTCCAGCCGCAACTTCCTCCCCCACACGTGGAATGACCACAAAGGAAAGGCACTCCCCTTCCCTTCCTCAGTTTCCCAAGTTTGCCCTTTCTTGTATTCGGGTAGTCCTGGAGATGCTGGGGAGTCCTGGTGCCTTCTCCCCGCTCTCCATCTGCGATCTGCCCCTCGGAGGGCCCCCCCTCCCTGCAAATGAGACCTGGCCTGAACGGACAAATCCAGCTCTAACTTCTCTCTGCCTCAATTCCATCCACAGACATCTCAAATTTGTCATCTTTACCCCAAACCTTCTGTCTACAATACCCCCAATTCTCCCAGTGCTCCAGGCTCCCAACCTAGGAGTCATCCCGGGCTCCTCGTTCTCTCACTCCCAGATCCAAGCTGGTGCCAAGGCCTGTGATTCCACCTCTGCAGCACCTCTAGTCAGTTTCATCTCTTCAGAATCCCTGGTCAATTTCACCTCTGCTGTACCTCTGGTCCATTTCACCTCTGTAGCACCTCTGGTCCATTTTATCTCTGCAGAATCTCTGGTCCATTTCACCTCTCCAGCACCTCTGGTCCACTTCACCTCTGAAGCATCCCTCCAACAGGGCCCCTTCTCTCCTCTGACACAGCAGCCACCTAACCCCTCCTCATTCAAGTGCCTTCTCTCTGCTAAATATTTCCTATTTATCCTGTGTAGAACCTGCTTTGTGTGTATTTGTTTGTATGTTGTCTCCCCTACCAGACTGTAAGTTCTTCAAGGGCAAAGATTTTCTTTTGCTTCTTTTTGTGCCCCCTAGTGCTTAGCACAGTGCCTGGCACATAGTAGGGACTTAATAAATGTTAGTTGATTGATTGCTTCATTGGTGCAGACCCTCATCACCTCACATATGGACTATTGCAATAGGTTTCTTTCCACTCCTATTCATCCTCCATTCCGCTGATCTTCCTAAAAGGCTAGTCTGACCACTTCACCACCCTACTCCCACTCAATGAACTCGAGCAGCTCCCTATCGCCTCCAGATTCAAATATAAAGTCCTTTGTTTGGCATTTAAAGCTCTTCATATCTTGGCCCATTCTGACCTTTCCAATCTACTTACAGCACTTGAAAAACAGCAAACACAAGCTTGTTGACTGACAGGTTCCCCACAGTCTATTGTCCAGCCATACCAACTTACTGCTCTCCTTTCTCACCTCTGACCCCAAGAATCTCCAGCTTCCTTTAAGACTCATCTCCAGTACCACACCTTCTGTAAGAGGGCTGGGAGAGTCTCACCTCACCCCACGACTCCCCCCAACACTCATGTGTTTCCCTCTTAATGTTGCTTTCCATTTATCTGGCTGTCTATCTATTCATTGACCTTGTGTGTCCTGATTTGTTTATGTTATCTTCCCCCTTAGGATGCCTGCTTCTTGAGAGCTGGGACTATTTTTTTTCTGTCTCTATACTAAACATAGTACCTAGCATATTGTTCAGTCATTTTCAGTTACGTCCAACTCTTTGTGACCCCAATTGGGGTTTTCTTGGGACAGTTAGTAGAGCGTTTTGCCATTTCCTTCTCTAGCTCATTTTACAGATGAGGAACTGAGGCAGACAGTTAAGTGACTTGCCCAGAGTCACAGATAGTAAATGTCAGAGGCCAGATTTGAACTCAGGAGTCTTCCTAACTCAAGGTCTGGCAATCTATCCACTATGCCACCTAGATGCCCTGACCTAGCACATAGTAAGCATTTAATAAATGCTTGTTGATTTTTGATATCATATAAATAATTTTATTGTTCTTAATTTCAGCCTCCATGATGTTCCCTGAAGCAATTGCTCAAAACCTCACTTTTTCTCATGGATAGTGGCGCCCGCCATCATCCAGAAATGGGGGTCATTGGAGGAAGAGTGAGTTCTCAGACCAAGAGAATCAATTCTGTTTTGTACAAAATCAATTCAAGGTGCCACCTGGATATCTAGGAGCCATGTGTATAGCCACAGCACTTGTCCGTGTGGGGCAGAGTTCATAGAAAGATATATATTTTGAGCCATCAAAGTAGAAAGGATGCTTGAATGATGGGAGCAGATGAAATCACAAAGGAGGAGATGAGCACCTGGGAATGATTTGGCAAGGGACACTGAGGAGTGAGTGCTAGACAGATGGGGAACCAGAAGAGCGCAATCTCAGGGAAACCAATGAGAGAAAGCACATCTAGGAGGAGGCGAGCCAGCACTGTTCCAAGCTGATTGGCTGTTGTGCCTGAGGAGGACCCCAATGATATCACAATGTTGGGGTCAATGTACATACAGTATGTCTGACCATGGCTGATCAGATCAATAGGAGCTCGGAAGGCTCTACCACAGGCTGGGCACAAATAGTCCACATGAACATTAGGGAGGGAGATGTTTCTAAATTTGTGCGTCTCACATTTCTTTTGAGCTACTGCACTTCTGCTTTGCTCATAGAGCATAGCACCTTCTTTGATTTGGGCGGGCCATGCTGGACGGTCCTGTGTCCATGTCTTCCACGTCTCACAATGGATTCCAAAGTTCTTTAGAGAGACCTCAAGAGTATCCTTGTATCGATACAAGAAGACAAGGAAAACTCCTCAGATTCAGTATTTCAGAGATCATTTGTAAGTTTTAGCCAAGTGGCAGAGCTGAGAAAGGAGGCAGCAAGGGTAGATGGCTCTTTCCAGAAGTCTGGCTCTGAGAGGGAGGAAGGATAAAGCCCCTTAGCTTCTCACTGGAGCGCAGTGTAAAGGATGGGAAAGCACATTCAGTAGACAATACGAATGTTACATCTCCATAAATACAGAGAGCCAATGTGTTCCCAATATTTTCATTTGAGATGAGTCTGGGAAGTAGGCTGTACGCTCCAAGCCCGAGCATCCCCCATTGGTCCTACTTTCATGGGGGGAGGGACCTAAGTTGCTGGACCAGCCACCCAGACCCCAAAGTACGCTTTGACCCTGACTTTTGGGAAGGGTGGTGGTGAGAAGGGAGGGAGGGAAGCCTTTGAAGGCAGAGGGAGGTGCCAAAGAGCAGCTGCTACAAGCTAAGTCACAGGGACCTGCTGGAGGGTCGGGACTTTGTGAAGCCAAGAAATGACCGGAAGTCAGATGTGTCCAGATCGGGGACCTTGCACCAGCAAGATCCTGCAGAGGCTGCGTGAGAACTGGGCGAGTGGCCTTGGCCATTCCTCCTCCTGCTCCTGTAAAACAGAACCAGTTCTCTTCATCGGCAACATCGCCTTCCTCCAAACATGCCCATTTCTGTGGCGCACACCGCCATCCCTGAGGAAAGAAAAGGTTCTGAACGATTGTTTCAGGGAGCACAATAGAGGCAGAATAGGGAAGAGTGGTTTGATTTTGGTGCAGCAGCGAGACGGAGAGCCCAGCGCAGGCTGAATATTAGGATTTCTTTTTTACGTTATTCTTTTTCTTTCCCCCCTCCTCGTTTATTTATTCATTGCTTGAAGGAGCAACCTAAGAGAAAGAGAAGGAACCCCATCCCCAGGAAAGTACCCCCTCACCGATGGAACAGGTCTGGAGCAAGTAGCCACGTCCCTCCCCCCCCCTCCAAAGCAGAGCTACGGGGCAAGTGCTTAAAGGAAACTCATTCCTCCCAGCTGCCTGGAAGCGGGGCTCAAAGGGATTAACAGCTGAGCCTGCCTTGCTCACCAGTGCCTCCGTCCAGCATTTCTACTCATACAACCAGCCTCTAGTCAATGGGAAGGTTTCATAGGGGAGGGAGAGGTTCAACCTAGCAGAGCAGGAGGAATGTGGGAGTCATTGAAGTCATTCAGCTGCAGCTCAACCCAGCAAAGACAGTGAGGAAAGAGGGCTGTGCCGAGGCAAGAGGGAGGCCGGTAAGACGGGCCGGAGAAGCACTGGAACTCTTGCCTTACACAGTGTGTGTTTACCACTGCGGTACCTGAAGGAGGAGGGCTGGCTGGTCTAAGAGACATGGGCAGAGCACGCAGCCCTGGCAGGAGCTTCAGGCACTAGCCAGAGGGGGCGCTTGCCTCTCACAACCCCACCCCAGTCATGTTTCTAGTTCTAGCCAAGCAGAGGCCCCTCATCCGTATGGCAGCCAGTCCTAGCTCGCGCGCTCTCTCTCTCTCTCTCTCTCTCTCTCTCTCTCTCTCTCTCTCTCTCTCTCTCTCTCTCTCTCTGTTCTCGCTGTCTCTCTCTCCCTCTCTCTGTCTCTGTCTCTCCCTCCTTCCCTTTCTCTCTCTGTCTTCTCTCTCTGTCCCTCTCTGTCTCTGTCTCTCTGTCTCTGTCTCTCCCTCTGTCTCTCTCTCTCTGTCTCTGTCTCTCCCTCTGTCTCTCTCTCTCTCTCTCTTCCTCTCTCTCTGTCTCTCTCTCTCCCTCCTTCCCTTTCTCTGTCTCTCTTCTCTCTCTGTCCCTCTCTGTCTCTCTCTTCTCTCTCTGTCTCTCTGTCTGTCTCTGTCTCTCTGTCTCTGTCTCTCTCTCTCTCTCTCTCTCTCTCTCTCTCTCTCTCTCTCTCTCTCTCTCTCTCTCTCCTGGCTGTTTCCAGCAGCCGCACCTTTATCTGTCTTCCTCCCTTAGCTCGTCTCCCTCTCTAGGCAGGCGCC